ATCTCTCTAGAATAAGGAATAATCTTCCTAATCTCTTTAAAATCTAATCTGATGTTTAGAAACCCTAAACAATCCTTATTTATATGTCCAACAATGTGGATGACAATCTCGTAAATAACCAAGCCCAATAGAACTTGGAATCTGCGTCAAAAGGAATCCAGATTCACCCAGGAAACGTGATCTGGTCGACCGGCGTGCTTGGTTCGGTCGACCGACTAGAGAGTTGGTTTTTAACCCTGTAGGTGTATCCATTTTCGATCGACCGACGATGAGGGTCAGTCGACCGGTCTGGCCTTCGCAGTCAACCGATGTTGGAAGCCCGGTCGACCGGCCAGAGTACTTGCATGCTTCCTATTTTCCTTGTCGTTTCCCTGACTTTGACCTCTTTCGCCGCCACCAACGGCTCCATCCATGCTTCCATTCTCACAATACCATGAGAATCATCTATCCTCAAGCTCCCATGAGGATCGCTAAGCTCCCGAAGCAGAGAAGAAGATACACCCGTATCATGGCTCCCCCCTTTAGGAACTTAAAGTTCCGTTCAAGTTAGAACTTCAGCTCAGGGAACTCGCGATTCCCTCCTTCCCTATTGAACCACCTGGCATTGCTAGGAACTTGATCTTGACGTCCGATCAGAAATGACTCCTTCGTCCCGCATCTCGTCATAGTCACCTTCTGATAAAAAAATGCAATCCTCTTTCAGTGGCTCTTCTCTATCAAACCACAAGTCTTCAACGTACGGTAAGATCACTTTGTCATCACCCATCATCGTCAAACAATAGAGGCTTAAACAACTTCAAGTACTCGATATTAATCACCGAATACATGCCTAAGTAAGATGGAAAATCTAGCTTAAAGGCGTTGTCCCTAATCTGATCAAGAATCTGAAACGGATCATATCGTATAGGCTTCAACTTCTTCCCTTCTCCTTTTAGCCGCTCCTTACTTAACTTCAACCACACCATATCGCCTTTACCAAAATTACAAGGAACTCGATATTGATCATGTTTTGCCTTGTACTTTGCTTGTGACTTTTCAACTAAGCTTCAACTATAGCATGAATCTGTGCAATCTTCTCTAGAAATCGTTGAGCCCGTTGTCTTTCGCTCCCTTCTTTGTCGTCGGTTGTACCTTTACTAGAGAATACTAAGTCGAACGGACTTGGAGGTAAAAACCCATAACATGTCTCAAACAGTGACTTTCCCGAAGATCCATTAATAACCCCGTTGAAAGCAAACTGAAGGTATAGTAAATTCTCATCCCAAGTCTTGGGATGCCTGAAATTATACCCCCGCAACATGCGAACCATAGTCTGATTGACTACTTTTGTTTGCCCGTCTGTTTGTAGATGAAAGGTCGTACTCTTCTTCAATTTAGTGTCCATCAAACTCCACAAAGAATCCTAAAAATGTCCGAGAAACCGGCTATCCCAATCTGAAATAATCAAACTCGGCAACCCAAAGTGCTTCCACACATGTTCAATGAATAATTATACCGCACCCGCTCCCGTCACGATCTTCTTACAATGAATCAAGATCACCATTTTGCTGAATCAATCCACCACAATGAACAAGTAATCATGCCCGCGCTTGGTCGTCGACAAACCTCCTAAGAAATCCATAAAAATACTCTCCCATGATCTTGAAGGTACCGGTAATGGTAGATACAATCCTCACTTCCTATTAGAAGGCTTTAATATGCAACATAGCTTCCTCCAACATACTTGGTAACATCCTCTAACATCTTTAGCCAAAAGATATGGCATCGTAGATTGAGAAGCGTCTTCTGAATCCCAAAATGTAGTCAGAAATTGCAAACTATTTTTCACATATGCGTCAATTTAAAAAAAATATTCTTTTACCCTGATATTTAATTAAGTGTTAGGTGAAATGTAAATATGGATCTGTGACACCATATTAAAATTAATTTATCTAACAACTCTAGAGTTCTCTCAAAATTGATGATTCACCATCCATCTCACATCAGCTCTCGAAGGTTTTGAGCCAATAAAGGTTTGTATATGTCCTTTAATTAAAATTAATGGGATGTTTGGATCGCTTTATAACACCCAAGAAACCCATTTCTTTGTCCTAACGCCGCTTCTACCTCAGCTAAACTTAGTCTAGGGTTTTCTTTGTTCCGCTTTAGTTCGCTTCCTCCTTTTGAGTTTCCAGCTGCGAAAAACTCATCCAAAACATGAGGAAATCGGTAAAAATCGCTATTTTCTGTACTATTGTTAGTTCGCGGGTTTTATTGGGGAAAGTTCTTGAAGGCTAGGGTTACCGCCACTTTTCCTCGTTTTATTCAATCTCTTCGTGCCTCGGTTCCTCTGTGAACGTTGTGAGTTTATTGAGTTTTTAATTTGCTGCTCGATCTATGGCTTTGTTGGTTTATCGTGCCTTCGTTCCTCAGAATTTTTATTTTTTGTTGGATCTTACCAAAAAAGCAGCTGCTTTCTTGGAGAAACATTGTTTTTGGTGCTTGATTTGTTCAAATTGATTAAACTAAGGTACAATTTCTTCCTTTTTAGTGAACTTTTTGTGATAAATTCTAGATTTTGCAATTTCTTTATTTATGAGATTTCAAACATTGGTTGAGATATGTTGAATTTTTCGACCCAGTCGAATTAGCTAAAATTTTGTGAGTTTTTACTGAGTCTGCACATATACTTCAAAGGTGATTGATTTTGCTGTTGATTTTCTGACCCAGTCGAATTAGCTGTTGATTTTCTACACAATTTCTTCATTATTTTGCTCATTCTGAATAAACATTAGTTAATACAATGCCTCAATGAGAATTTTAATAGAAATTTGCTCTTTCAAATAATCTTCTCTCTAAGAAAAGTATAGCACTCGGTTATGAGGGTGCTTATAGTTAATAATAATTAATGATTAGAGTATGGTAATCACCTTCTGGATTATTCAATCGTTGGAGATTGATGTATTTATTAAAGGATATTGTGGGAAATGGCTTTTCCCCTCCAAGAGGGAGCTGTAGCGAAAAATAATTTACCATAGCTGATTCGCAAGCTAGCGCATTGCAAATTGATCTCCTTTGGCCCTCTACTCTAGTTTGTTTGATGTTTAGGTCTAACATGCTAACTTATGTCTAAACTTTTGCCTCTTAAAATTTTCTTCTTTGCCGCCCAATGCTTCCTATGATTTTAATTGATAGAAGTTTTGATTCTTGACATTGCATATGGATGCTTGCTAGGGATATTAATTATTTTAATTTAATGTTTGCATCGTAGATGGATGGTGATGCGATGAACAAAGTGTTGTTAATATGGTTCAAGATGCTGCACTATCTGTTTTTGTTATAATATTTACATTCATAAGAAGAATGCAAGCTAGGCGTAAATCAATTTGTAATGGTCTAAGTGAGGAAAAAAGAAAACAAGAGAGGGCTAGAATTGAACACATAGAGCATATTTATAATGGTTTTAGTGATAGTTGTGTAAACTACATTAGAATGCAGAGTGGTGCTTTTGTTAAACTAGCAAGTATAATAAGGAACAATAGGCTGCTAAAAGACTCAAGGAATGTAACAGTGAAAGAACAGCTTATCATGACACTGAACATTTTGGATCATAAATCTAAAAATCGCATTGTGAGATCTTATTTTGTAAGATCAGAAGAGACAGTCAGTAGATATTTTAACGAGGTATTACAAGCAATTATTTGCCTACATGAACGCTACATGATACAAGCCCCTAATGACATTCCCCAAGAGATCATTAACAACATGCTTCCCCAAGAGATCATTAACAACCTGCTATACTACCTTTATTTTAAGGTATATCTACACTTTAAGCACAATTACATGTATAATCAATAAAAATAAATGTTAACTTACACTACAAGAAATTAAATCTTTAACGAAGGGATTTCCCTTCGTTAAAGAGCTGAAAACCTTCGTTATTGTATGCTAACGACGGGGAAAAATCCCTTCGTCACCCGTCGTTGAAGCCCTCTTCGCTAAAGGGTCACGAAGGGATATACTACCCGTCGTTATAGAGTCTATAACGACGGAACATATTACCGTCATTAATATTTACGACGGTAATTATCACCGTCATTACCATCAATGACGGGGATATTTTCCCGTCGTTACCAACAGTGACAGGATATTTTTTCCATCGTTACCATAGTTACAGGGATATTTTTCCGTCGTTATCATTAGTTACGGGGATATTTTTCCATCGTTGAAGACTAATTAATGACGGTTGGACACCGTCGTAAAAATCCTCATAATGGGTAATTAGTCACCCATCAAAGACGGTGCTTTTCCTTCGTTGATGAACAAAATACGGTTTATAAAACCGTCATTATAGACTACAAATTTCTAATATACATCAATAATAATTTTTTCATTCATAGGCAACTATCATATTATTCTCAACCTGACACTAAGATTCACAACAAAAATATATTAAAAATACCCAATAATGAATAAGAGGGAAAACAAAAAATTCCATTCATTAATAACATCAATAAATAAAATTACACCATCCTCAAATATTCAATACTAATAACAAGAGTTAATATCCTAATTGTTCCAAAGAAAAATACATGAAACTATCTAAAACAAATTAAAATAAAAGTTTGGGGAAGACACATTCTTTCATCTCTAATCATCGTCAAAAGAAGACTCGAGTTACCCCCCTCCTAATCTTACATGGATAGCCTGAAAAATTTTAAAAAATCACATAATTAAGAAATATTAATATCAAGAAAAATGTTAAGACTGCAGTTCTCCTAAATAGTACCAAGAAAAATTAATATCAAGATAATTACCTGATTCGACTAAATTTTGTTTCCTGTTAAGTCAGTGTAGACTGTTGGGACCACCTGAGTATAAAAATTAAGTTTATCACAAATACTTCTAAATTGTTCTAAATATCATAAAGATTAAGGGCCAACGATAAATGTTCTAAATTTCATATCAGTGAGGAAAAATCATTATGTGCTCACTTTAATAAAGTATTGGTAAATCCCTGACGATGTATGATGTGTCCATTTTGCTCTGGAATTTTTCCAAAACCAGGTAATGTTAGAAAATATGTGATGTGAACTTACAATCAAAGGCAATAACGAAAATATGCTTTCTTATTGCTTCCCAAGCTCAAACATCTCATACTTACCCATCAAGTGGGTTGGCGACACCTGGAAACTCTTCTCCAAAGGATAGCTTGTTTATTTTGTGGGTTATCTGGTTTATGAAGAGTAAATTGAATGCCATAACCAAATATCAATTGAAATGCCAGTGGCATTACTAACGAAAGAATGAAAACACAACAAAAGGTTGTGTGCTACTCACATTATGGTTTCCTAGCTGAACGTCCAACAAATCAGAAATAAGATCTTGATTGTGATGCAAAGATTTTCCAGCGGCAAAGTGAAAATTGCTCACTTTATTAACTGTAGAACAAATAGCACATGGGTCAGCAACAGTCTGAAATATAAGACACTGGAAACTATCACAAAGAATTTTCTTTTATCACCTTATTAACTGTAGAACAACTAATACATGTTTAGGACAGAATGCAAACATGTAACACCATCACTGATAAGGTTAGAATTTCCTTTAATCAACTCAGGGCTGTAGCCTTTTATTACCGGTGAAGCATCTTTTGTACAGAAAACATGTGATAAATCTGCACCCTGTGCAAGAAAGGCAGAATTCTTAAAATTCAACATAGACCAAGATATGAATATCTTTTAAGTATGAACGTACTAAAACAAACATGGAGAATAATGAAATGTAACAGAAGAGGCATTACTAACAATTTTTAGGGCGGATATAGCAGCGAAATATGTTGCACCAGTATATTCACAGCATCCACCAAATCAAAACTAACAGGAAAAATGAGAACATGGGTTTCTCTTGGTTCACCCAATTATAATGAAAATCAACAAATGAAGACCCAAATCAAAAAATTTGAAAGTTTGTTGTGATGACATTACAAGAAAAAAGGAGTTAAAAAAACACATATGAAAGGAGCATAGCTTTGCAAGATCTGGAACCACAGCTCGTACATTTTCAAAGGGTATATGAAAAGAAAGTGGTAAGGTTCTGCACTCATTCACCCATGGCTCAACATATTCCTTTGCTGTTGGTATTGACATAACACAATCATCTGTATAAAGAAGAGAAAACAATTACAAGAGAATAAAAGGAATATATTACAAGAGAAAACAATTACAACAGAATCAACAAAGGAACTGTCTATCAAGAATATATGATTGCAGAACTATTTGGACAGCTAAAGGCTTCATCCAGTTATGAGAAAAGTAATATCAAGAATTGCATCCATCTCAAAATTATCATTTCATCCCACTCATTCTGATCATAGCACTGGTAGTTGTATAGTCATTGAATAGATGATAAAACTTTATGTTTCCTATTTCTCCAACATTTCCCTCATCAGTTTCATGGCTATTCAATGATAATCAATAAAAGATCACTAATAGAATAAGTTTGGTTATAAGGGGTTGAAAGTATTTGTAAATTTATCTGGCCGAGAAAAACTAAGCTGGGTAATTCGACAAACAGATTACACGCTACATTTGAAGGAGAACTTGGAAGTTAGTGATAGAAATATGATTAAAGAAACAAGCACATGTTACTCTGCCTAGAACCACACAGATGTGACATTTCAAGTGGAACAAATTCATACAAATCATCGCCAAAACTTGTACATGTTTTACTGCTTGACAACCGGTTAGAGACGCCCTAATGAGTTGCAATTTATAATATTAGCTTCATGGCTTCAAAAAAAAGGATGGGGGCATAGGTTATTAATTCGTCAAATAATTTTGTTCCTAAACATAGCAAATATAAACAATATCACAGACATGTACAAATACAGACAATTATGTTCACACTTACATTTTCTCTCGTCCTTATGCTTCCTCCCGAAACTGTTTTCATTCTACCAAGAAACCCTCCATCAGAATAAGCCATTAAAATCAAAATTCACATGAAGATGCAAATGATCAATTACCTTTGCATTGTTGAGCCTCGCTAGCAGCTCCTTATCAATGCGATTGTCTTCTGGTGCCCTACACAAAGCTCAATATATGTTATAAGTTCTAAAGCAAACTAAAAGAAATTAATCTAATGAAGATGACTGCAATATGCGACAAGAAAGTACTTTTTGTTAGCTTCCTGGGTGTTTTTTTAGAACGAATTTCTGCACATAACCATATTTCAAAAATAAAAGTTCAAAAAAGTAAAACAGGGTTATTTACTATATATCCACCAATTAACCATCTTTGCGGGTTTGCCCCAAATTCTACCACTGTTCAAATACCAACGAATTATCCACAAAAAAATACTGCAGTACTTTGCTAATGCAATTGTTCGCTAATGCAAAGAGTACAAAACATATAACTATAATGTCTTTCACCTGCTAACTATATCTTCCAATTCTCCTTCGAAGTCTACCAAGCATCGTATGTACTACTAATTTTAGGAGGAAACAGATGTAAAACCGCAGAATCACAAGGATGAACTGAGAGGCTATGGTGAACCATTGAACTGAGCTTAGAAACAAGGTGGCTTTTGGAATCAAATGCCTAAGCAGAATACATCTGAAAATACCCAAATTAGGATTAGGGTTTTGAGGTAGAGGACTTACAAGTCAGACGTCCAGCGAAAATGAGGAGCATGAGAGGTGGCGGCAGTGACCGCCGACGACGGCGGCGAGTTCAGAGTTGGGGGGGAGAGAAAGAGCACGTGGGTTTGGGGTTTTTTGATGTGAGAGAGAGGATAGGGTTAGGGGGATTGCGTTGGTTTTTTTTCTTTTGATTTTCGTGAAAATAAACGGGGGGAAAGTTCCCTCTATTGTGTGAATAGGCAAAAACGGGGGTTAGATGGTGATTTGGGTTTCGGGTTATTTATATTAATTTTGATTACTATTCATATTATCATTAGGAGTTATGATTAATGAAGGTAATGGACCCTTCGTCTTTAATGAGACCCAATAACGACGGTATTAGGATCAAATTAATGAAGGGACTAGAAAACCATTACCAATCTCACATCATTCCTATAATATTTGTAATCACTCGACGAAGGCTTTAAAAACCCGTCGTTAGTATATGCACATTAACGATGGTCAACTAATCCCTTTACTAATTTTGGTCGTTAAATACTGTATTTCTTGTAGTGTTAGTTATGTGATACACGTATTATAGGATTACAATGGTATGATAGATGGGACTCATGTTGATGCAATGCCTCTGATTAATATTGTTGCAGGATTTCGAGGCCGCAAAGATTTTACACAGAATGTGTTTGCAGCTTGCACCCTAAATAAACTGTTCACATGATGTATTATCTAGACCACAATTACATGGATTGAAAGTCTATGATGGTAATTATATATAAATTTAACTTAAAATAATTTAATTTTAATATACAAACTTGACTTTCTTAACAATTTTCTTAATAAAATTGTAGGCAAATACTATATGTGTGATGCTGGGTACCCCACCATGTCAGGTTTCATTTCTCCATACCGAGGTGTTCGATATCATTTGAAAGAACATTCGGGTAAAACACCTAAGAATAGAAGGGAATTATTCAATCTAAGACATTATTCTTTGAGGTCTAAGATTGAATCTGCATTTGACACATTGAAGAATCATTTCAAGATTTAGTTTGCTAAGCCGCATTACCCATTTCCTACACAAGTAGATATCATATTGGCATGCACGGTACTTCATAATTTTATTGCAACTATAAATCCAAGTGATGAACTACTCAACGAGTCCGAATTTAATGAAGATATTGATGGTGAGGTGACAAATGAGAATGATAATAATTTAGTTAATTTTACTCAAACTCAAACCCAAAGAGAGCAAACTGAATCAAGAAATGAGTGGAAGACTTTTAGGGATAACATTGCTTGGGCGATGTGGGTGGATTACTGTGATAAGTATAATCATGGTGTAACCATTGAGACTTAATTTTCATATTTATTGTACTATTTATGCTCATGTATGTACTCTTTAACTCTATATTTTGTTTTTTCCAATTATTATATTTTGCTTTTTATTCATGTATTCATGTTTTACTTCTTCTAGTTATTATGTTTTGCTTTTCATTCATATATTCATGTTTTGCAGCTTTTGCTTATTCTGCAAATTATATAATATCTAACTCTCTCTATTTAATTAGTAATTGCTGATAATATATCATTAAGTGAGAGATATAATTATAAAGGAAAGGGTGTAGTTCCATCTCAACCTTCACCACTTCAATCCCCTCAGTCAATGCATCAAGGCAATAGTGGGTATTTTCCATTTCAACAGTCATACTTTGGACAACCACCTCATGCATTTCTCAACATGTCATTCCATGATGACAGTTACTTCCTGATGCACCATCATTTGAGGTCATTTACGAACATGCTATGTTCTCCTCCTTTGCCTCCACAATTTTATAGTCTTAATATTAGTGGGTTGCAACTTTCTCTCACTAGTGGTTATGGTTCAACTCCTGAATCAAGTTCCAAATGGGCGCTCATAGTAGAAGGGAAAGAAACATCACCAAATCCAAAGAAGAAGAGGGAAAACACCTCAACAAAGAAAAAAAAAAATAGTGAGACTGGCGGTTCTCAAGGGAACAAACATTTGTTTTGGGATTCCCATTATGATAATGAGCTCATTCCATTTCTTGCCGACTTGGTAAGAAAGGGTTACAAGCCTGACAAAAGCTTTAAGAGAACCGCTTATCATGTGTCTTTCCAACATATTAATGAGAAGTTTAACACAATATTTAAGTGAGATAACGTCATGTACCGCATCAGAACTTCACGTACAAGATTTTGTGATATGGAAACTTGTCGTAATCTTAGTAGTGCTGGATGAGATGATAGCACCAAGACTGTCATCATGGATCCTGAATGTTTAGATAGGTGGATTGAGGTAAATAAACTCTTGTTGTATTTTCATTGATTAATTATCTTATTTCTTATTTTTATTGAATTAATTCACCTATATTTTTCAGGACAAGAGTTTTAAGAATGATAAGCTTAGACAATACGTCAATAAACCCTTGATGCGTTATGATGATCTTGCACTTATCGTTGCGGATGATCAAGCTAGAGGGGAATTTGCTAGTGATTCTTGGAAAAAAGTTTAGTCGTAGCGAGTCCATAAATCTTGGAGATGATGTTGACTCACCTTTGGTTACCTCTTAATCCCCTCAAGTACACATTTTAGATGATGAGGACACTCCTTCACCTAAGGAATCACCCGCCACATCAAGTTCTAAGGCAAAGTCATGTGTTGCTAAGGGAAATGCTCGTAGAACCAACCTAGATAATGAGCTCATGCAAAAAATGGTGAATAAGATAAATGTATCTAGCGCAAACATAAAGTGTGTAAATATGCATTGGACCGAAAAGTTATCCACGATCATATATGCTCATTTATAGGACTTGATAAGCTAGATACATACTACCGCCATCTCTTTTTGAATGAGTATGAATCAAAACTATTTATGGGCAAATCTTCAGTTGGTCAAAAAGAGATGATTGATGCATTTCTCAACAAAGAGGGTTGAAAACCAAAAGAATATGGGTGCATGTGGTATTTTGTGATTCTCACTTTTAACATACTTGTTAAATCCACTTACTTTTGGTGAAATACTAGTCTTGCTTAATTTAGGGAACTACTCTTATGAATGTTATTTTTGTGTATGTGGAGCATTATGATGATGGAACATATTATTGTAATATATAGTAAGTATCTATATGCCTCCACATTTAGTCGTGATTCTACGTTTAACGTACAGATTCATATGAATATTTACCTTTCATGATGTGAATATTGTAGAATACTAATTTTTATATTGAACTTGTGATTGCAGGAATTTTATAAGTCACCAAATACATGACAACTGATCAAATTTTGTATGCAAGCAACCTATAATGTATACACATTGTATCGGATGGCTACTGTTGTGGATTATTAAGATATTCAGTTGTCATGTCATGAGTTTACATTGGTGACTTTTTTACTTTTAGGCTATGATGATTGTCAAATTTTTTGAGATTAGCAACATGTAATATCTATTGATATTGCACTGAATGGTTAACGATGATGATATTGACCAAGTTCTAAGCCCTCAGCCATAATTTGCATATACATGTGGCAGGTTAATTTTATGTGATGTCAATAAATACTTTTAAATAATTTTTTAATCATAAAGTTTATTCAAATTTGAACATGCATAAATTATCAAAGTAGTACACGATAATAACAAAGTAGTACATGTCCAGACTTTCATTTTAGCGATTTTAAATAGATTTCTAGACCACGATGCTCTCCAATACATTCCTTACTCAGATTGGCAACAACTTCATTGTAACCAACTTCTTGGGCGTGTGTTAGGAGTTGATTTTTGTTGCAAAAGTTATTGGGGAAAACTTTGCAGTAAGGGCATTTTTAGTTTTCGTTTCGGTCTATAACTTTTACAGCATTAGCTCTTAGCATAATTTTTGCTAATTTCATGATATCCCACATTTCATCTTGCTCTCGATCTGCATCCGTATAGGTAATCCATTGTTCAAAAGCTTGTTTATGTTCAGTATTCCTTCCACGCTGATAAAAAAACATAGTAAATTGACATTAAAATAAACAACTCCATTGTTTATCATAAAAACTTTAAATATTATTTCCTTTGATGGTGGTGCAGATGAAGATTCACCAATATCTTTATTTTTCTTACTCATATTTTTTCCCAGTTAGAATTTAGTAAGCAAACATTGCGTTTTATAGATGTATATGGACTGGTACGTTTACTTGGTGGTTAGATGTTGAATCTGACAATATTTATTTGGATCAATAAATTTTCTACTAGTATTGCCCATGATTTTGAAGCTTCCATGGTTTTGAAACCTAACTGGTTTGTTTCTTGTAATTGACTCAACTACTCAGTCTCCATTACGTATATGTAGTTCCATGTCATATACATATTTATGACTAATAAGGTTGTTTATAGATTTTTTACAGGTTTCATAATAATTTTTCGCTAATTCTGGCACGTATTTCATAAAATTGTGAATAATCAAGTTATTACAGGTTTCGTTTGTTTTTTTTCATGTCAAACATGTTTTGTGTGATTTTTTTCATTTCAAACATGTATATTTCATGTCAAATCAAGTGCGTAGTTCATAACAATTAATCATGTTATTCCAGGTTTCATATGATTTTTTATGTCAAACAAATATTTATAATGAATTCGGTTATTTATTATTTGTTCATGTTACATTCGCACTTTTATTTTGGTAAGATTACCTCCCATAACAATCACAAGTAAATCTGTCTTTAGTGGGGGTAAACTTATCATGATGACTGTATACACTTTTCCCTGCACACTTAAATACCAACCAAACACAAAAAAAGTGAGAAATGTCTAATCAACAAAAATTTTACCTTTTTTTATACCAACCAAACATAAGAAAAATGCATACATTGGTTTCTCACCATATTTTATTTGTGAATCAAACCCAAACAATCTATTTCTTGAAAAAGTTTAAAAAACCCAAAACTTTAATTTCTTTACATGGAATTGTATTTCCCAATCGAACCAAACAACCCCTAAACAGAAGCCTAGGAGGATATCCCATCATAAAATCAGATGACGTTACATTTTTCCGAACCGACAACATATAAAAATTTAACTACCAAAGCCTGGTAAAGCTTCAAAATGGCTAGATTTTTCTCTTTCTTCTTAAACGATGGAGCTTCAATTACCTGATATTTCACGCATGCAAACCAAGGCGTTCTGAAGAGATGTGGAGTCGATCCATCAATTACTCTATTACTAATATGGAGCTCCAATAATGTATTTTTATATTTGTTTTTTCATAAATAATCACAATATTTACTATTCTAATAAACATATCCGAGGAATTTTCAATTATTTTTTATATGATACATGAAGGTAAAAGAGAGACACTATAACATCTACCATCATCACGAACAAAAATAAAATGATATTTACGTCATTCATGCGAATACAAAACTTATCATTTGTAGATGTATAAATACTTAAAATTACATTTCTCTTCATTTTTCTCTCACGTTAAAAAATATTACTGAACATATAAAATATAAAGAATATTTTTCTTTTCTTAAAAAAAAAAAACTTTTTTCTTCTCTCCTACAAATGATACCAATGATAAATATCTACAATCAATTATCTAAAGAAAGATCCTCCCTACATAAATTCAATCAGAACCATCCATGGTCGAGCCAATTGTTCTTAGTCATTCAAAGAAGCAATAAAAATCTTTGAACTGCTGCTCTTCTTAACCAGTTCTTATGCAGATTGTTCTGATAGAATTTATATGTATCCTTTCTTCCTAAACTTTTTTCTCCAAAAACAAAACTTCTATAACTTCAATAACTAAAACACGCTAAAATCTTCATTTTGGGGAAATTTCCTTACCCCATCCCCACCCTCTCCCTCTCCCTTCTTCCCCTCCCCGCCCCCAAACACCTCCTCCACACACCTCTCCACGTCCAAACTCTCCCCCTCTTCCCAATCTACCCCTAACGGTATGAACGGCGTCCTGTCCACCGTCAAAACCTCTTCCCAGTTTACCCCTCTAAAGAACTCGTGCCGCTTAATCTCCTCAACTCCAATCCTCTTCTCCGCCTCTTTTTCCAACAATCTCCCTATCAAATCCCTCAACGCCGTCTTCTCTCCGACCAAATTCACGTTCATGTTCAAAATCCTATAAAACGTCTCCTTCCGGTTTTGCCCCCGGAACGGCGTTCGTCCGTACAACATCTCGTACAACACAATCCCGAAACTCCACCAGTCGACGGCGTAGTCGTGACCGCCACCTTTGATTATCTCCGGCGCCACGTACTCTTCGGTGCCCACGAACGAATTCGATTTCCCCGGCGTTTCGGACGATACGGATGGGTTTCGGGTCGAGTCCAATGTTTCGGGCGACACGCCGGAGTTGGATGAGAAACAGGGGAAAAGACGACGGCTTTTCTTTACCGGGTCGGGTTTCTCGGTGCGGGTCGGACTGGGGGGAGAAAAAGATGAGATTTTGGCGGGAAGCTTGGCGGAGAGATCGAAATCGACGAGCATTATGTGGCCGGTTTCTTGGATGAGGATGTTTTCGGGCTTGAGATCGCGGTACACGATTCTCTGAGCGTGGAGGTGCTCCAATGCGAGCACCAACTCCGCGGCGTAAAATCTGTAAAAATTCCGAAAAGTTAGGGTAAGTTTTGGGAAAATAAACAGATCCGTACGCAGTCAAAGGGCCGAGATTTAATTTACCTGATGAATTCATCGGAGAACATCTTCTCCGTCTGTCGCCAGCGAAGTTCGGTGAGATTTCCGCCGGCGGCGAAATCCATCAGAAACCCTAGAATCCCATCGCAGGAAACGAATCCCCTAAGCGAAGGGAGAAGACGGTGGCGGAGCGAACCGAGGACCTCCCGCTCGAACGAGATCCGGCGATAAGCGTCCTCGCCGTTTCCCCCCTTGTTCTTGATCCTCGATCGGGAGATGGCCTTGAGAGCCAGGGTTTCGCCGGAGGCCTTGCTGCGGACGAGGAAGACGACGCCCTTGGCGCCGCGGCCGAGGACGGAGATGACGTGGAGGCCGGAGAGGGGGACTTCCATCGGTTAGGGTTAGGGTTTGGGGTTTTTGACAGTTTGGGGGATTTTTAAGGGGAAG